TCAACTTAGTGTTGTCTGCAGAGGTCAATGGGTTTGCATTTTATGTACAAACAGTAAAATTCTGATCAGTATGACCTCTGTCCCATATGATTATCTGTAGGAGAGCACAGAGAAACTAAATACAATCATATTGAACCTCTGATTTCTCCAGCCTTATGCATTAGCCTCTAATATGAGGGAGGGAACCTGATTGCCTGTTAAGCATGAGTTTTTGTTATTTTCAAGTATTAACAAAACTCTGAACACAACTCCAAAAGACAAAAGTTTGTTCTGAGAGAGGAGAAATTCAGGGAAGCGTGACTTAATGGATGTCACAGAGAGGATGACTCTGTACTCCTGCAGTTCCCCTTTGCCTCAGCATTTGACTAATCAAACCAGAATGGTTTGGACTGGAAGGGATCTTAAAGCTCATCTCATCCCACTCCCTGCCATGGGCAGGGACACCTCCCACCAGCCCAGGTTGCTCCAAGCCCTGTCCAGCCTGGCCTGGAACACTCTCAGGGATGGAGCAGCCACAGCTGGTCTGGGCAACCTGTGCCAGTGCCTCAGCACCCTCACAGGGAGGAATTCCTTCCCAATATCACCTCCATCCCTATTTATGTTCTATAAGAGTTTTATATGACCCTCAAACATAGAGTGAACACCAGCAGCAGCTGTGGGGAATAGCCTTTTTTGTATAAGTGAGACAAAATCACTTGCAGCAATGCTGCAAATGTTCTTGAGCTTTAGTTGAAGCATATATTGCAGCTCTGTCTGTAAGGGTACTGGCACTCATCCTGCTTTCTCCAGGGGTGCACCACTAGCTCCAGAATCCCCAGAGCCCTGCTGTGACAGCCTGTTCTCTGGTGCAGTGCACTGTGGCCTTCCCACAGCCAGGTCACTCCACCTGTGGATCAAAGGGTTTGGAGGAAGACTGGCATAGCAGGTGGGGTTAATCCAGCATCCTGCCTTTGGCTTCAGGCAGAAGTGCTGCCTCTCAGGCAGGGCTCACACACCAGAGTGGAATCCTTTACTCACACTGTTAGTCTCTCCTTTATGTCACACTGATGCAAGTGTCTCCCCCCTGGTTCTGTTCCCAGCGAGTCAGGCCAACAGGCCCTGCAGCCCACACTGCTTCTGTAGGTTTAGAAGGACAAGTTGCAGAAGCCAGGATAGCTTCAGAGCACTCTTCAGCCTCCCACGCTCTCCTTGCTTCCAGCAATCAGGAATTTAGGAGCCAGGGGTTATATGTAACCACTGTTCTTAATAGCCACCACTGTGGCCAACTTCCATACCCAAATCCCAGTTAGGTCTCTGCAATAGCCCATGGCAGTATGTTTAAAAGAAAATAGTTCTGTGCTTTGTGCAAACCTTTTTTATTAGCACATGTGGAACCTTTTTAAGGGTTTGAAGGTTTTTAAGTGGAGGTTTTTAATGCCTTAGTGTTCTCAGAAGTATTTTCTTTTATTGCTTTGAAATGTTGCTTTGCATTTCATTGCTCAATCCCTGATGCTTCTGTTGTGGTGATAATGGTAGAGAATGAGGAGCAGTGTGTCAGTGCCTTTTTTTTTTCTTCATTTATAATGTTGAATTCTTCAGCATGAATTCCTAATCCTCCTTTCCCAGCCTCCTCTGGACACAGCTGCTCATTAACAGGATTCCCTGGCTAACCTCTCTCTTGCAATTTTCTGCTCCTGTTCAGCTCAAATGTGCGTAATGGAGTCAATGCCTTGGAGTGCTGCTCACACTGTGCAGTGCCACCCATGCAGGCACAGGCTGGGAGGTGATTCCCTCAGAGCTGGCAGTGCCTTGGCTCCCTTGGGATCAGGAGTGTGTACCTGATGCTCCAGCACTGCATTTCTCCAACCCTGTGTGTGTCAGAGCTGGCACAACACCATCCCTGTGCCATTCTCCTCCATTCCTCCTCCTCCTCCTTCCCCTCTCATCCCCCACATCTGTGCTCTCCCAGGCCCCTGGGGCTGCTTGGGTCCTCTTCAACCATTACCTTTCCCTTCAGGAGACAATCCTTGTCAGAGCTTACTTGATGACCCTCCTGTGCCCTCCCTTGCTGACCCAGTTCCTTCTCTCTCTTGCAGCCACCCTCATGCTCAGCCTCTCTGCCCTGGGCTCTCCCGGGATGGTGCCACATCAGTCCTGCTCCCCCCAGGGTTACCACCACCCTTTGCCCTGCCAGTCCTCCCTTTCCTCCCCCTGGCACACACTCTGCTCCCATCATCTCTTCAGAGCATTCATTCATGCGACTCCAGGGCTGCTTGCTCCACACACTCACCCCAGCCAGGCACTGCTCCCTGCTCCCACCCTCCTCCCAGCCCTTCTCAGGGCTTGGCCTTTGCCTCTGGAACAGAGAGCCAAGAAGGGAGGCACTTGCTTCCAGCAGGACTTCCTGCTCCCCCTTGCTCTGTGTCAGTGTTCCAGAGGAAGCTTTGTTTAGGGTCCAGTTGGTACCTGGTGACAGTAACTTGCCTGTTCCTGTGACCTGGACTTGGCAAACAGCCATCAGCTGAGGAGCCCTGGGAGGTCTTCCAGGATGCCCCGTTGTCCCCTTTGGCTCCCCAGGGACCAGCTGCTTGTGCTGGGCTGGCTGAGGGCCTTGGCGTGTCAAACTGGTT